GTCATTGTCCAACTCTCTGATGCATAACAAGTGATTGCAAAGACCATGGCCTGTATCAGATGTACCTTAGTATCCAGAGAGATACCATTGCTCTTCAGGACTTGGAGAGGTCCCTAACAGCAGACTTTCCCATGACAATATGCCTTTTACTAGGATGTACCACAAGATTGGTGATTCAAATCTCCCAGCTGCTTCTTGGCAGAGAGATGAGGCGATCTGCTTCAGGAAAGACTCGCAGCCTTGGGAGCTCTGTATGGACAGTTCCACTGTGCCTGGCAGGGCTGCTGTGAGCTGTCATCAGCAGGACAGGGGTAGATTTTGTATGTTCATAAGCTCATTTTTGGTTAATTTTATAGGTGCGGGCTTGTGCATCTGTCTGCCTTGGAGCTTCCGGTGGGTTTGAACCACTAGTCTTTTGTTTAAATGCTGTACCACCAAAGCCCCTCTGTGGTCTCAATTCGACTATGACTCATCACAAGCTTCCACTGGGCTTACAGCCTTTCCAAGAGGCTACTGTCCATCTTTCTCTTAGGGAATTGCTGGGGATTTGAACCACTGACTAGCTGAAATTAGCAGCCCGAGACACTGATACACCACTCACTATGCCCCAGTTACTCACACCCAAAATGTTTATTGAAAATGTTCCCCAAAGGATTACATCAAACCCACAGCTGTCCAGTGGGTTTCCCCACTCAGAATGAACCTATGAGTACAAATGCCCCATTGGGTTTGTCTTGGCTGAAGGCTTCACTAACGTAGAGTGCCAGGACTTTCCTCAGCAGCGCTCTTGGGCAGACCTGAGCCCCCAACCTCTAGGCTAGCAGTGGAATGCAAATACTTTGCAACATCCAGAGACCTAGAAAATGTCCCGAGGCCATCACAAGACTGTGGTGGAGAAATCTCTAAAGAGATGTTGCTGGCAAGGAATTTCACCTGGAGAACAAATCCAGAATGTTCTCATCTCAACTTGTCACTATCGTAATATCATCACAGGTACATGGAAGCAATTTATTAGAATGATACAACAGATCCAAAGAGTGTCCTACGTTTTCTCAAATCAAAAGCTCAGACTCCTTACAATTGTTGTTGATTGTTGTCGAGTCGAGCATGACTCATCTTGACCTTATGAACAAAAGACCTGAAGCCTTTCTATAACTATTGTCATTTCTCCAAGTCCATAGAGTTTCCAGAGGCATGTGGTTTAGAAAGTAGATGCCTCTCCTGCTTCCAAACTGTAATCGACCTGGGAGCTCCACCAAACACTGCCCACGATGGGTAGCCATGATGGTGGTTGGCACACCACGACCAATTCACAGCAAAACCCTCCATTGGCTTGCTGAGGCTAAATCACACAGGAGGAAATAATCCATCTTTCTTCCAGAGTGGATTAGAACCACCGAAGAGATACTACTGTCTCGGGGGTTAGCAACACAACTCTGTAAAGGTGATCCCTCCTCCACCCGGAGCTCCCTAAATTAAAAGAAACACACAAACAAACCAGAGCACCCACTTGCAGCCAAATGGCCACAACCAACTCCTATGGCTGGTGTTAATCGAGAGTTCTCCTATCATTTTCTAAGTGTCCTGCCTAACTCGTTCATCCGTAGTTCCCTGCTGGTACCTTGTCCTAGCAAACTTGTCCTGAGATGTTTCCTCAGCACAAACTCTTTGGTCTTGAGTTTGCATGAAATGACATTTTGTCTTCTTGGATCATTGTGATCCTTTCATGATCTACTAACGCTCATTTATCAGAACCCATGACATTGTTTCTAGAAAGTTCTCATTCTTAACTGTGGCCTGAATCCACCTTTTCTCCCAGCATCCTCAGACCAGCTTGTCTTCTTCCACAGTATTGAGATCTATTCATCTGTCCGCACATTTGAGTATGTGACTGTCATTGAGGGTGGTGCCCTCTCTCACAGTGTCCTTCACACGCACAATGCTGCTTTCTGAAAGCACATCTCTCTCTGATCCAAGGAGACATTAATTGCTTTTGTGATGATGTATCGCTGCCTCGTGAACTGATAGCACAACTGGCAAGCCTGATCTCAGACCACGAGGCCGAGCCTGATCAGGACACGTCAGCTGTTAGCCCAGGTGCCACGGGCTGTAATTTGAGGATGTGGACAGAGTTATGTCATTCTCTTGAGAGACAAGAAACTAGAATTCTGTCAACGCAAATCTAAAACTCCACAACCAATGGAACTGGAGATGCCACTCCCCTACTTCACATTAAGACAACACTTGCCAAAGAAATACCTGAACTAATTAGAAGGATGTGACTGATACAGGGATTGAGAGAGGTGCTTTCAGCTGCAGATTATGGGTGTGAACTATGCACCATCGAGGATAAAGGGAAGTCATGAGAAGGGGTGGATGACAAGGCTTCACAATTCTGAACCTCTCTCCATTAACAGACAAGTTTCCGTCCAGTCCGTCTCAAAGGCAAACTCCCCGAGCTCACTGCAGCTGCCACGCAGTGTCACTGCCTTAATGGTACACAAGAGCACTGTCATAAGTGAAGGTGGCCCTGTCGGGTCAGTCAGCACCAAGAAAGTCTGTCTAAGAACATGGCGATTCTGTATCTGGCGCAGCAAAGAGAATACGAGCAAAATAAACTTCTCTCTTACTGTATCGCTTTGGTCCATCTTCCAAACAAAACGAAAGGGTTAATGTGGCGTCGTCCTCAAAAAACTCAGTGGCAAACGCATCCCACCAGAGGTTGTCACTGTCCTGCAAAGAAACAGAGTAATTGTGTAAGCGGCAAGTGCTGAAGAGCTCAGAGGCAACAGGGAGAAGGCAGAAGCCCAGCACATCCTCCTTGAGTGGGTGGTGTGCTGGAGAGGAGGGCTGTGACGTGGCCACCCTTCAAATGAATTGCCTCAAATGGGGACCATGTGCCAATGCAACAGCCAGTTAGTGCGAACCCAGTGAAAATTAATTCTCTAGGACATATTTGAGGGGCTTTAATAAACTTCCCATAGAACGCAACATGAAGCTTCTTACAAAAGGAATTTGCATTTCATATAAAAGACTTCTCTCTCTGTGCCCCTCTCTCATTCTGTCTCTGCTTCCCTCTTTCCCTGCCTTTGCTCCTTTAAGAAACCATCTTTAAGAATAGAAAACCACATTCTTGCAACAGGTTAAGGACAGGAATATTTAAAGAATTTGTTTGGAAAGAGATTTGTGTGCGTGGTAGGTCAATGTGAATGAATATCCTTTGTTTACTTTGGATACATCACGATAGAAGATCAATTCTTAGAACAGGAGATCATCTTTAATAAAGTGTAAAGTCAACAAAACGAGGTGATCTAAAGAAGCGAGAGAGAGTGTGTATGTACACATATGTGCAGTTGTGGGGAGCTCTGATGGCCTGGTGGGAAGGAGCCGCAATTCCAAACCCAAAGGAATATGGTTCGAATCCACCAGCTGCTACACGGAGAAAAACAGTCAATCTCCTCCCGTGTTACTTACTGCCTCTTAGAACTCACCAGAAGATCAGGTATTGGTTGGTTACAGCTCGACAGTACACACCCACAACAATATATGCAGTTGCTATTAGGCACTGTTTGGTCAATTCTGACTCTTACTCAGGCCGACCTGATATGACATACCTTAACCACTATGGTCCCACGGCTCCTTCTCGTAAGACGTTTTAAATCTATGTTGTTGTTGTTGTTTTGGTTGTTGTTATGTACCATCAAGTTGCCTGCAACTAATAGCAACCCTATGCACAATCCTCAGAATCCTGCCCTAGTCTGAGATAGTATCATTGCCTCTAACACACACAAAGCCATTATCTCAGTTACTGTGTTGGTCCATCTCATCCAGGGTCTTCCACTCCTGTGCTGTTCCTCTACCCTTCCAAGCATGATGTCCTTCTCCAAGGACTGGTCCCTCTTGGCAACATGCCCAAAGTATGTCAGATGAAGTTTCAAAACCCTTGCCTTCAAGGAGAAGCACGGTCCCACTCTCTCCAGGACACTTATATATCTCTACATCATGTCTATATCGACATGACTGTTTGGACTACACTAGTTTCACTCAGGGAGAAAAATGAGTAAACTCCTCCTGTGCGATATACCACCTCTGAAAACCCACTTGAAGATCAGCTATGATTCAGTTCAAACACTATATGGTACAAACTAACATAATAACAACAATAATATTAGCTACCCACATACATAGATATAAATATAGGTCATAGATATGGATATATACAGACATGAACAATTGTGTAGCTTGTAATAGGAAGGTCCCTGACGGTGTGGTGCTTAAACAATCAATTGCAAATCTAATCCACCAGTTTTGCCACAAAGGAAAACTTTCTTATAACAATGGATAATCTTTACAGAAACAGATTTCTAGATCTTTCCTCCCATAGAGTTGATGGATGGATTTGAACCATCAATCTTTTGTTTAGCAGCACAGTGCTTTAACTATTGTGCTCTAGGGCCCCTCTCCTGTATGAATGTACAGACACGGATTTATACACAGAGATGTAGTCCTCACACACTCCTGTCACATCTAAACTGTGTATAGGAATGCGAGCTCGGAGCTACCCACTGGCTCGTCAAGAAAAGTTATCAGAAACCGAGCAATTCTGCGGAAAGCGGGCTTTCCACATGGAGTCTGTTAGCCTTGGGTGAAGCACTCCTTGTGCTCATTCAGCAAACATGCTGGACCTGATCCAGTTCAAGGCAGTTAGAATCACTGCTAATCTCCTCAGGAAGGGAGGGCCTCCTACGACACAGAATCAGTGAGATTTTGCAGTTGTCACAATCAAAGTGGGAATCCTACCAGGCCATCCTGCTCGGTCCAGGGCCTGCTCTGCCCCCAAATTCTTAGGCACAAGCTTTTCCTGGAAGGCTGTGGGCCCATGCCAGACTCTGGGACAGGATGCTTCCCAGCTGCTCCGCTGAGAGGGAACAGAAAAGCAACCTTTCTGCTTTCCATGTGAATAGCCTTCAGGGGCTTGGGCTCTGGCGGGGACTTCAGAGACCTCTCTCCCTCAGATGAAGTCCTCTGGCTTATGACAACATTAAGTTGTTGTCACTGGCAGGCCTCCTGAATGAGCCTGCCTCCCAGCGATGATAACTCAGGAGCCAGTGAAGATTGATGCTGTCCTCTGCTTCCGGAAAGAAGCAGCTCAGATAAATGTTACTCTTTCCTTGTCTGATGTAGGTGGTTCTTTGCTTGGCCTCCTCTAAATCTGCATATAAAAGGCTACCACGTTTTACATGAAGACACATGGAACACAAACCACCCAGGGGCAATCCAGGAGTCCACGTGAAACAACAGCACACGGATAGTTGCCACCGAATCACAGTGATGCTATAGAAGATGGAACAAACTGCCCTCGACCAGCCTCTGGGTTTGCTGCAGAACAAACAAGTCTTTCCATTGCTTGACTTTCATATCTCCAGGCACTTATTCCTCGTGTCTCTAAATCTGGAAGCCCCACTGAAACCTGCTCAGCGTCATAACATACGAACATCCACTGACAGATGAGTGGTGGTTGCAAGTGACATACTCGTCCCTCCAGAGTGATAAAGAGCACTGATGTTAGTCTAGGGACTAAGGTGCACCTGATCCAGGTCATGGTCTTCTCAATTCCTTTCTATGTATTTCAGAGCTGGGCAATGAATAAGAAGACAGAAGAAGAATCGGTGCATTTGAGTTGTGGTGCTGGAGAAGAATATTGAACATATACCATGGATTGCCAAGAGAACAAACAGGTCCAGCCTAGAGAGGGTGAAACCAAGTTTCTTCTTGGAGGTAAGGATTTTAAAGCTCCATCTGACATATTTTGGGCATATATTCATGAAGGACCAGTCTCTGTAGAAGGACTTCATACTTGGAAGGGTGGAGAGAGATCACAGTAAAGGAAAACCCCTAATGAGATGAACTGACACAGAGATTATGACAATGGAGTCAGCTGTGCCATAGAAGTGAGGTTGGCTTAGGATAGCGCAGAGTTCAAGGTCATTCTTCATAGGGTCACTACGAATTGTCATCAACTTGGCGGCACATGCCAACAGCAGCAACATTAACAGGAGGAGAGCGCCCATCTTTCTCCTTTGCAGTGGCTGGTGGAGTCAAACAACAGAGCTATGCTGCTTTGGGCTCACAGCACAACATGCTATGGACTCCTCAGAGCTCCTTACATGAAACCGAACCCAGCTCTCCAGTGGAGGAGGAGAGAATTATACAGCTGAACCACCAAGGTGTGATGGCTCCAACTATGAGAAAAATGTCTAACCTAAGGCAGGATTCAGTATGTGCCATTTAGTAAATGAAATGCAGCAGTTCGTGTGCTTATCATCATTTTACAGCTACACAACCCAAAGCTTAGGTGGTAATTCTCCAAGTGGTTTCTGGAGGTGTTGTTAATTGCTGTCAAAGCAGCTCTCAGTCATTAACAGGACAAAGGAGAATTTGGCCTTGCACCATCTTTCTGACCACTGACTCATGTATCTGTCTCTGTTGTTACTGTGTCTGTTACCTTTCACTGACCCTCTGCATCACCAAGCAGAAATTGGTCTTCTCTGACGACATGCCCAAGGTAACTCAAGTCTCACGTGGCCAGTAACACCCCACCAGTAAATGAGACAGCTGGTCTCTCAACGCGGATAACACAACACAGGAGACCCATCCCCAAACTCTGCTCTGTATAATACTTATGACTTTCTCTATGCTTCAGGAGGAGGGGGTTAGGATGCAGGAAGAGAGGTGGGAAGATTGGGAGGTAATCACTTGGCGTGGCTTACAAAGAAAAGCATTTTATTCTCTGAGCTTGACTGTCCAACCCAGGAAGATGGCCACGCAGCCATGAGCATCATGTCACAGGGGCTACAGGCAGAGAACACCCAGCTCTCAGCAGTGGGGACCACGTAAGAGGAGAGCCATCCTCGCATCAGCTCACAGTCCCGCTGGGTTAAACGGGGCAATGAATGTAACTCCTTGGTGCCATTTCCTTACCTGGAATTGGGGGTTCATGATTTTAATAATAACAGTGGCGTGATAATGTACCATCAAAAAGTACTACCTTAAAAAAAAACCCAAACAAACAACACATACACACACACACACACACACACACACACACCCCTACTGCCTTCTAGTATAGATATGAGCGTGAAATTAGCTGTTTGGTGCCAAGCTTACAAAGAGTCAAAGGAACCCTATGGACAAGAGAACTAAACCTTGCTGCATCCTGGGCCATGCTCACTGGCCCAAACCTGGGCACAAACCCACAACTGCAGTCACTCTGCCAATCTGTTTCCCTGAGGGTCTTCTCTTTCTATGACCCTCCACTTTCCCCCATACGATGCCATTTTCCAAGGAATGTTGCCTCTTAAAATGTCCAAAATGTGTGAGACAAAGTCCTACCATCCTTGTCTGAAAGGGGCACCCTGATTACACTCCCTCTACAACAGATTTCCTTATTATTTTTGACAGTTTGCTGCATATTTAATGTTCTTCAACCACATTATAATGCCGAGGAGTATTTCCTCCCCCTTGGTCTTCTTTATTCACTGTACAACTTCCACATGCAACTGATCACAGATTTTATCAGATGCACCTTAGTCTTCAAAGTGATATCGTTGCTCCTTTAAGTAATTATTAATCATAATTGGTTCAAATAAACTGGTAAATTCAAAGTTCCAAGAATGCAATATGTTGTTTGTTGTTATGTGCCGTCGAGTCGCTTGCGACTCATAGCGACCCTA